TACTATATTAGTGCATGATTATGTTGTGTCAATATTATCATAATGAATGGTTTGGTGGAACATATGTGGCAACTTCTAGACCTTGGAGAAGCAGCATTATCTAAACTAGTTTTGAAGTGCATCTACAACTGCATGATATTTAGATTTTATGGAGGATCTTGCCATGAATTTTATTTCTTACAACTCTAATATATAGCATTGGAGCATAAGAAAATAGCAGAAGCATTAGAAGAAGTATGATCATTAATATCATGCTCATTTATCATCAAAAGGGCATGTAGTGTGAGAGGGGAGGTTTTCTTAAGGAAAAGCCCATGATTTATCATGCCATTCAAATATCAAAGCATTTAACAATAACATAATGTTCATATGTTGGACGATACATGAATTATGATAGCTTGTTGGTGTAAAAAGTTTGCTGATGTCTAAGTGAAAGATATTGAAGGTAGCCAACCAAGGATCAATATTTTGTCAAGTTTGTGAGAGATGTTTCATCATGCAATTGAGTGTTCTAGCTTGAAACATAGGCTTTTATACAACTCCATAACTTTCCATATGGAGTTAAAATAACATGACACCCAAAAAGGAGAGTTGCCAAGACTCTTAATGGACAATTGATTTGCCATGTTTGTGATGTATTATTTAGCATGACAAATCATGATTTTCAGTATACTAACACAAATAGTTTTTGAAGCTTATGTCAATAAATGAATAATGAGGTGTCAAATTTCGAGTTAAAAACCTATGTTGTATCAGAAGTGGCAAACCTTCATGGTATCATGCTCATGGCTCTTTGCTTGTGACCACATATTGCTTTCTTGAGATGACATACATAATTGGGAAAACCTTTATAAATGAAGCCCTGGTCATTGGGACATATAAGCATCCTCTTGAAGGGTGTTATGTAAGAAGAAATTATTTAACTTAACAAATTAACAACCCTTTAGAGAGCACAATATGTTGGATAATTTGATTGGTGGTTGGCATTATGATAGGGTTGGAGGTTTCTTGATAATTTATGTTTGGGCATGCATTGATGAAGTCCTCTAATGATAAGGCGGGGTTTGTAGCATTCAATGGTATCATCATGATTATGCCTTTTTATAAAGCATCTATTCATAACCAACTTTAATAATGGATAGGATAAGACAATTTCCCAAGTCTAATTTCAAAATAAAATATTTAACTCGTCATACATTGGGAGATACCATTCAACATAGGTTGAATATTTATTAAGAAATAAGGTTTGATTAACAATTAATGTAGAGTTCTGCAGTGTATGAATTCATAGTGAATAAGGTGTTATGATGGAAGCGTTGCCATGTTAGTTGGAGTGGTTAAGATGATAAGAATTGTTTAAGAAGTGGAAGGAGAAAGCCATGAAAAGGAGAAGAGAGAAGGCATGGTGGTTGGATGAGTTTGTAAGGCAAATATATCTTAAGAAAAAAGTCATACATCTTGATATCAAAAATTTGTTGGTGATAAGTCATAACACTTGCACAAACTTTGCATTAGAGAATAACCTAAAAAAGACTCATGATGTGGAATGTGACTCAAGTTTGTTAGCAGTGTATGATCAAAACCAATAATAGCATAAGCATCCAAAGACACCTAATTTGATCAGATTTACGGGGAGCCAAAAAGTCTTCCAAAGAAGGATGCCATAAATAATTGACATTTAGACATGCGAATATGAAATAAGCAATAATTTCAAATGCATACAACAAAAATTTGAGAGAAATGGAGGTGAGGTGCGATAGGCACACTCAAGCAAGTTTCAACATCGTGTTGATGTCATCACTTGGAAAAGCCATAGTGTATAGGTTTGTGAGGTTGTCTGATGAGGTAAGAGATATCATGTTGAGAGCAAGAAACATGAACAAGATTTGTTATTCACTGTCATTATTACTATATAGAGTAATCATGAATTTGTTAAAAAAACATTTTTATAATATCTTTAAATAGAATAAAAAATAAATTGGACATCAAACTCATTTTTTTAGTTTATTTAGTCAAATATAAAAGATAATAGAATCAACAAAAATGATGTAATATTTATAACTATTTAATGTTATGGCATGAGAACTACACACATCTATACAAATTTATTCTTAGAATTTATACTAAATAGCCAGGAATTTGAAACAAATTGAAAGTGGAAGTTAATTTGTGATTCTTATTACATTAGCAATCATATTGCTTTGCTAAATCTTAGCAAATGTCAAAGCTATTATTATTTTTCAATTAAAGTTATTTAGGTATGATATTTGGTGAGGTAGCCATCATTATGGAAAAAATTATAATAAATTTTTTTAGGGTTTAGTATTGTAATGAGAAAAAAGATTTTTTTTAAAATTAATATATGTATTATGAATATAGATGTTTTTAAAAAATCGGATAATCTTCTTAAAACAACTATACATTTATAAATATAATTATAAAAAGTAAATTTTTATCATAAAAACTTTTTAAAAATAAGATGAAATAATAAGAAAACGTTAGTCAAGCAGAAATGTGATTGATATAACTCTAAAAATCATATGATCAACACGAATCTCAAAGCAATATTTTAATTAAAATTGAAATTAAAATAATGATCATTTGAACTTTAAATTTGACATGCTTAGAATCAAATCGAGTGGCTAGACATGATGAATCTAACGAGCCCAAGATTACTCAAATCTGACATCATTAAGGCACTTAAATGATGAAAATATATTTTGCGACAAAGGAAATTGATATGAATTGTACGATATGATGTATTGAATTCTGATTCAAATTACAAAATGTTTATCCCAAAAAATCAATAAATAAAGTCTCATTCTCCACATGAGGAGAGGAAGAAATGAAAGAATTAGAGAGCTCTCGTATATTTTTCACCTATCGCTGCCTATAATCACCACAAGATATTGTCACCGAGAACTACCATCACTGCCAGCGATCACCGTCAGTAATTACCACCATCTCCAAAAATTCTGACAAGATATAACAATGATGTTGGATATAGTTGTTCACTTGTTGACACCTATTTTCTAAAATTCCTATTTGGAAAATCAAGCCTTGTTGTTGGGTGTTGTCCATCTGCAGACACTATAACTTTTTTATAACCCCTATAAGAGAAATTAGACGTCTTATTATCAAATAGTCATATTCTTTTTCAACTGTGATGAATGAATGATTCTTGTGTCTTTTGTTATATAATGAATTTTTCAGTTGGGTCAGATTCTACAGTTTTTTCCTTTTCTAGATTTCCACGTCAAAAAGTTCTGGTCTTATAGCATGATGAATTTTTATAAAATGTTGAGGCATTACACACATTCTACCAACTCAAATTTTCTAACACGTAATAATGATTATGGTCTAAAAAAAATAAAATAATAAGAAAGTCATTTCAAATCAATTTTAAATGCATATTTAAAATTATAATGTAATTAAAATAATTTTTTTATATTCATTAAATAAGAAAAAACTGTTCATATAATTTTATAATTATAATTATGTATTATAAATTAGATCATCATAAAAAAGTATTTAATATATTTAAATTTAGCATACAAAATGAACTCTTTTTTTTTTAATTTAATTTATTTATAACGTTCAATCCTTTAAAAATATTATGATAGAAATATTTTTAATCAGAAACCCGCATGCTTCGATTATTCTTCATGGGAGGGGCAGCGCTGAACGCGCTTTCCAGCAGTGGCTTCCCACCATGCTCCAGCTTCAATGCTTCCTTAGCTGTATTCCATTTGCAAATCATGTGGGTCCCATTTGTACCAATTATTTTATAATATTATTTAAGGTTTAACAAATTGCCTATGGTAATAGGGGAAATTATTGGATTCGGTGACTTTTGGAGCCCAATAAAAATACGTCACATCACCTTCTACTCGATCTTGAACTCGGTACTGAACAATATGGTTCAGTACTGAACTCGGTACTGCTCGGTATTGTTCAGTATCGAACTCGCAGTACAGAGTTCAGTATTACTCGGTACGGTGAAGTACCAAACGTAAGTTATGTTTGGTGTCCGAACACAATAATCGCTCTGATAATAGAGCCAGTAGTTTCAAGGGCCACGAGATCAGACGGTCATGGTTGCATGATTTGGTAGAGATCAACGGTTATTATAAAAATGAGATTTCTTGCTTGATAGCAACTTGGGACGGCCAATAATGGCGGTGGCTTCACTCCGTTGTGCGAGACTTGCATGGATTGACTTGAGCCCATCACGTCATTATCACCGACATTATTTTTAGCGCCTAATTAAATTTAATTAGCCTTTTTTAATTATGTATCCAAAACAAATTTGTTTTAAGAAAATTTATAAAATTTGATTATTTATAAAAATTGATATTCGTGCCAAAATTTTTAACTACTCCGTGTATTTATATATGTGAAGAATAAATTATTTATTTATTGTTTTCATGTAATTTATTTTTTTAGTATTTAAAATCAATTTTATTAAATTACATTAATTGAACAAATTTATATTTTTTAACTAAACTATATATATTATCGTCTTGCTGCATGAACCTACCAGAAATTACTGTAAAATAGATTTTTCAAAATTTTGTGCAATTAAGTAAGAGAAAGAAGAGAGAATATATTTTAACTAATACTTATTTCATAAATAAAATTATACTTAATATTATAATATAGCTAGATTTACATATATAAGATAAATTTTTATGCATTTATATTTGCAATATTTAAAATTAAAATTTAATTATATAATATTTAAATAATACTAAAATTATTTTATTTAAAATAAAAAATATATACATATGTTTTCACATATTTTTGTTGTGATTTAAATATTAAGATATTATAATAATGAGCCAATAAATATAAAACTTTAACTATTAAATAAATAAATATTATGCACAATATATTAATTTTATTTCATTTAAAATAATCAATGGGTATTTTAGTAATTACATCGATCAGAGAAAAAACTTGCTTATTGAGAAAAAGCTACGTTACGAATTTTCTGACAATCTTGCCTTCGTAAGGCGCAAACCTAAATAACAAAAATCTTCTTGTACCAGGCAAAAACGAGCTTGCTGTATTCGGCACGTGATAAAGAGTCAGGGGCCTCTTCCTTCTTTAGCCACCATTGCTGCTCTACTGAAGATCTGAAAGCTTTCAGCTGAGAAGGCCGCAATGGAGCTGAAGATCAGTCTTTTATCCTTCAATAGCGGCAGATCCATCTCAAAGCTCGCGCATTTCGCCAGTTTTCTCGTGTGTTTCCTTCTCTTCTTCAGTTTTAAGTCTATTGGTGCGTGCCTAACATCTTTGATCTCCTTCTCGATCTCCTTCTCAACATCTTTTTCCCCCTCCAATCCCTATAAAAGTTATCTTTATGGTTATTTTCTTTCATTGATGTCGGGTTCTTGGGGTTTCATTGATCCTGCAATTTTGCCTAGTTCTGGAGTCCTGAAATTTTTTTTGGGATATAATTTGGTTTATTTGACTTCTCATTTTTTAAATTTGGTGACTTTATTAAATTAAATTTACACTAAGTTCGGCATGTTTCTGCTATCTGATTGTCAGTATTCTTTCATGATCAGCTCTTTTCCTTATTTCCCTTGAATGCAACATGTTAGTTTTGTTCTTGTTGAATAACTAGTGTTTGATTTTAATATCTATTGATTAGGAAAGAAAAACGATTACAATTTCCTTGGAACATGATTTGATCATTTCGAGTAGCATATTTCAGTGCCTTCGGAAGCAATTTCTCATGATCTGATCAAATTCTGACGGGAAAGTTTTGAATTTGTTACGTGCTCTTACTTCTCTACTGTGCCTATTTCATTAATTTCAAAGGTAGTTGAGCAACGTATGAAATACAGTTTACTTTGGTTTCCAGTAATTGTTATTTGCTCAATGAGGCATTCTATATAAATATAAGTCATCGAGTTGGAAACAATGAGTCATTTCACAGTTTCTGCATGAATTTTACTTCTGGGCGGTTTATGGAGCAATGGATGAAATGTTGGAATTTTATTTTTTATTTTTTATTTTTTATTTTTTATAAAATCATACATAAGAGGCCTACGTGTTAATGAAGAGAAAAAAGAACAAGGCCAGAATGACTCCAAAGCTCACTAAAATACAACATATGAAAGATAAATACCTAAGAGCCTCGGAATTCATCTAAAAACAAAAATCAAGACAGTACAAAAAGATGATCAACCTAAGCACAAGCAAACAAAAAAGGACTCGAAGGAAAACATCAATTGCCCAGCAGTCAAACGTTTACAACCAAAGCTACAGTGTCATCTAAGTATTGTTTATCTTTCATGATATGGACAAATTATTCTATGCGGACTCCGAATACAGTTCATTGTCCGGAGACCAACCAGAATGCGCCACATCAGCAGTACCGAGCGGTACCAAGCAGGGGTTAACATGGCACATTCTAGTTGGTCTCTGGACGGCGTTCGACATTCGCACAGAATAATTTCTCCATTATATGACTAGTCTGTTCACAAGACTAGGTTTTTAAGATTAACTACACGAGTGGCTATCATATGTTGGTTTTGATAAGAAAACCTATTTATGAGTTTGCTACAAAATTAAGTGGGTAGATAATAATTCAACTTTAGCTTTAAAGAGTTGTTTGGTGGCAAGATTTAGGTAGGATTTAACAATGATTCAACTTAAATCCTTCCAAATATATATATATATATTTTTTTTTTGACATTTAAATCCTAAGATATCTATAATCTTGTTGTTTATCTAAATTCAAGAATTTATTAATCCTTTGTTGAGCTTGATTTAACTCGATCTTAGGAGAGTAAGGTGTTCTAGTCTCACAATACTTGTGTGCATCACTGCCCTGACCTCCTTATACACAGTCGAGAGGTTTGCCTCATTGGCATGCTCCATGATTCAGACTAAGTGACTAACTAGTAAAGAAAGTCGGCCTTTCAGCATCCATTGCCATGGACACCATAACCGGCTATGACTACTAACCGTTTGGGTGGACAGGAGGAGATTAGAGCTAATTCTATTCTGAGTTCTAATTGTAGCAGGGATGTGCAATGTATTATTGGTCTGAAGAAGAAAAAAGGGGATGTTGAAGAAGTTTCTTATCTTTTAACAAGTTGGAATAATAAAAAATTATATAACTATGCAATAGTTAATTAAATTGCTTAAACAAACTATGCTTATAAATGTCCGATGATGTACTTTTTTTTTGGTCAAATCTCATAATCTTTTATACCCCATAATTTACTAATTCATACTTGAATTAAATCTTTCTGTTGGCAAACAATCCTTAATAGTTTACTTTTTGCACTCTAAACAGTGCCTTGAATTGTACACAAGGAGATCTGATACATTTGAGATTATAACATCTATTCCCTTTTTAGTTGCTTGAAAAACTTCTAGGAACTATTTAAACACTTGACCAAGAAAAAAAATTTTACTGCTTACAGAAGCTTTTGACGCCCTTGACCCCAATGGAAACATAACCATCAAATGGGATATAATGCAATGGACTCCAGATGGCTATGTTGTAAGTACGAAGCATCAGTTTTTGTGAATTTATTTCATTATGTAATTGATAAATCTTAGTTCTCACGATGCTTTCAATACAATATCAAAAGCAATAATCTTAAACAAAATTGCATGAACTTTCAGGCTGTTGTTACAATAAACAACTACCAGCAATACCGCCACATCCAATCACCTGGATGGATATTAGGCTGGACATGGGCTAAGAAGGAGGTTATATGGTCCATGGTTGGTTCACAGACCACAGAACAGGGAGATTGCTCAAAGTTTAAGGGAAGCATTCCCCATTGCTGCAAGAAGAATCCAACGGTTGTCGATCTCTTGCCTGGAACTCCATATAACATGCAGATTGCTAATTGCTGCAAAGGAGGTGTGCTTAGCTCCTGGGTTCAAGATCCACCCAATGCCGTTAGTGCATTCCAGATTAGTGCTGGCTCTGCAGGGTCAAACAACAAGACAGTTCGTGTGCCGAAGAATTTTACTCTCAAGGCTCCAGGGCCAGGTTATACTTGCGGTGTGGCGAAGATTGTGAAGCAAAGCCGATTTGTTTCACAAGATGGCAGGAGAACAACCCAAGCACTGAGTAAGTTAAATTTATTGGATCTAGTTTACATACTAATAATTTGTATATGTAGATTTGTATAATGTAATTGTTTGTTTGTTTGTTACTCTGATGATTAGGGTGCTTGAGGAGCTTTATACTGAAACATGTAAACAAAATGAATCCTTCTGATAATCTCGTTGTTTCTTTGTTTGTTTGGGATGTGAATAAGAAGTGTTTAAAGGGTGAATACTAGCTAAGAATGCATAAGTTCATTGTAAATCTTATGATGTTTTAGAATATGTTTCTGCATAATGAGCCCATAGGATACACATAAGGAACCTCATAATTTTTGAAAGGCTAAAATTAGGTCATGACGGATCAAATGGCATCAAATCCAACCTTTGGTGCTTGGCTGCTTTATTTTTGCTCGTTCCACAAAACACTTGTGAGTCTTGACAGATACAGCCTTATTTTCTTCTTCATTAAAAAGCATTTTTTTTAATTTCCCTTTCTCTTTTTTATTTTCTTTTCTTTTTATATAATAATAATAATAATAATTGTTGCGGGCTAGAATATATTGCAGCGATAGAGTTAGAAAATTTTTGTCTTAGCGTTGTACGAATATCCAGCACACAAACATAAGAAAAAATGTAACACTATAATTTTTACATGGAAACCTAGGAATAGAAAAAACCACGGGGCCACGCACAGTTGAAAGGATTCCACTAGTGTTTACTTAGATTACTAATGACTGACTTGTCCCTAAAATTGAGGGCGATCAGATTACAATAATCAACTCCTGGGTTTAAATTCAGTTACAAACAGAGATTGGAAATTCAACGACGTTCTAGTGGTTGGGCAAAAATCCGGCTTCAATTGACGACCGGGCAGAATTCTGATGGTAGTCGGCTATTGGGCAGAACTCCGACGCCAGTTGATAGTTGGGCAGAATTCCGGCGTTAGTTGGCAGTCGGGTGGAAGTCCTGAGGTGGTCGAGGAGTCTCTTCTTTCTCTTCCTTTTATTCTTTTCTTTTCCTATTTTCTGAGAGTGGCATGGTCAGTAAATAGGAGGAAGATCATGGGTAAATTGGAAGTGATTTGAATGAATGATCGATATTGAATTCCTTGATCATGGATCATTTATTGAGCATTTGAATGTCTTAATGATATCATAATTCGGTGATCTTGGGCTCGTTGAATATCTTAATGATATCAGAATTCAGCGATCTTGGGCCTGTTGGATTCGTCTCGTCGAGCTGCTCGATTCAACTATAAGAACGCCATATTTAGAAACTTTTTGGTAATCCAAATTAGGTATTGAACCTGTCAAATGTGCTTTGGGTCTTTGATTTGGACTCATTTGGGCTCGGATTGAGTTGAATTTGGTGTCGTTGGGTTAATATTATGCACACACGTGGCGTCTGAGGATGCATCTCGGGCCAAGAAATGAACATAAATTCGAGCTCAATCCTTCGATGTGAATGTATAGGAGTCAACACGGCTCGAACTGTAAAATAAATATACGTTCGTAGCGCCGACTAGGATATTTATTTCATACATTCATATTAAGCCTTCAAGGTCTATCACAAGAAAATTCATTAGTAAAAACGTAAAACCAATGACAAATCCGATTCTCTGTCGACAATTAGACAAAGTCGACAAGGTTCGACCGATAAAGTGAAATTGTCCATAAGTACCCCAATGATGGTCATGTTGAATGTAGATCTCATTTGGAGGGGTTAATTTTCAAATTCTCCCCAAAAAACTCAAACATTTCATATACATTAAGAATATAAATATTTAATATTAAAATAAAACACCTAAGTACTTAAAGAAAAATACTCATTCACATTCTGCAACAGTTTGTCAAGGTGGACAAATTTGAAAATCACTTTAGCTCACAAAGAGCAAATATTTGACCGAGAATATCAGTAGGATTCATTCTCAAACATAGTTTAAAATTGCGCAATATGAGGCTCGCCTTGAGGCCCGCCTTTGCGCAATTCTAGTAAAAAATGCGTCGATGCTTACGCCTCAAGTTTTTTTTATGAGGCTTGCGCTTCAATTTGGTTGAGGCCCGCCTCGTCTCACGCTATATATATTAAAACTTACATAAATCTTGAAGTAAATGCCCGACATTGGACTCTATAGGAGAGGAGGAAGGGGAGAGAGCAGTTCATCATAATTATGATTCAAATGAAGAACCCCTTAGTGATGAAAATGTTGATGACTTATGAGTTCTTATGTGATATGTCATTGCTATTTATTTTTGGAAATTTGAATTATATGTTAATGAAAAGAATACCGCAATTTGGGAAAGATAGAATTTTGAGTTGAACTATATTTCATGTTGTCTTATTATTGGGATATTTTGATTTCACTTCATATCTTATTCTTTTTTATGTTTTATATTATTCACTCATTAGTATATAAAAAATTTATCATTTTATGTTTACGCAATCTTTTGATTTTGAGGCTTACGCCTCGCCTCACGAATGAAAAACGCCTCAATACCCGAATACGCAATTTTAAACATTGTTCTCAAACCGTCTCTTGTTAGTAAAGATGTGACACATGTCTTCTTAATGGTGTTCTCATTGCTAAATGACACCACAGGTAAATGTTAGTAAATCATTGAGTAACGAATCAATATGATATGATTGATAGGGCACAAAACTCTCTGCTAGCTAAGGTGAATTCAAAATTTTTCCCTTAAACAAACATTCAACACAGATCTACAAGGTACCCTTAGACGAAGCAACCCATGATTACTGATAAGGATCCTTCGATCAAGTTGAGTCAATTATCTCCTCTGACTAAGTAGACTAGGGACCGTAATGACCCAGGACGACGAAACCATGGGATCTTGATTGGGTTTATCATCATTCCCCCCACCATTCGCTTTAAGTACAAGGTGGTAAATTTCTAATTTTAAATATTAACTTTTCGAATATCCATATCACTACTATTATAAACTAGATACTACGTATGTTTGATGACTAGCCTTAATTGAAAGTTCTCTCTCGTTACCGGGAGGGGTAATTGATTATAGGAGCTTGCACCTATAGGAAACTTGAACTCAGTTTTTGCAAAATGAGGGCGAAATCTCTGGATAATGTCCTATCTAAAACTCAATATGTCTTCAGAAAATTATTCTGGAACCTACTCGTTAAAACTCTCCTCGATAACCCTAGAAAAAGGAAAGGAGATGCGGAGAGGCTTCAACGTGAATTTTCGGAGCTGACAAAGCATTAATATTCTATGATCATGCATAGGGCTCAGACTATTAAAGTATCTTACATATTTGAGGAATGCTTTTGTTTTATGGTTGAAACTTAGATCCCTCTCAATAATGAGAATCAAAATATGCATTATGTTTATGTGCTTTTGAAATTCCATCTACGCTTACTCTTATTAGTTTCATGATCCTTCATGAAAACAAATCATATTTCAAATCAGAAAGCTGAAAGGTCTGCTATTTATTGTTTCAGTGACATGGAACGTTACCTGCACTTATTCCCAATTCCTTTCTCAGAAGACCCCTTCATGCTGTGTCTCTCTCTCATCCTTCTACAATGATACAATTGTTGACTGCCCAACATGTTCCTGTGGCTGCCAAAACAACGTAACTCAACCTGGGAGCTGTGTGGAGTAGGAATCTGTTATATCTTAGAATCTTTTACCTTCAAGTACAATTACAGTGTAGAGAATAACCTGAATGCCTTTCTTTTCATCTATATTCTCAGGGGAGATTCGCCTTATCTCGCTTCTGTGGTCAATGGCCCTGGAAAAAGCAGCCTTGTACCGTTAGTTCAGTGCACATCTCATATGTGCCCTGTGAGGATTCACTGGCATGTTAAGCTCAACTACAAAGAATATTGGCGAGCGAAAATCACAATTACCAATTTCAACTACAGGATGAACTACTCGCAGTGGAACCTAGTTGTCCAGCATCCCAATTTTGATAATATCACACAAATCTTTAGCTTCGATTACAAGTCCCTTACTCCTTATGGCGGCATAAGTACGTACTGAAACCTTGATCTCCAGACAAAAAAATTTAGTTTTTTAATTGTTCTGTTTGCCAATTTGATTTCATAGATGATACTGCAATGCTATGGGGGATGAAGTACTACAATGACCTGCTCATGGAAGCTGGTCCTGCTGGAAATGTTCAATCTGAGCTGCTTTTCCGCAAGGATGCGTCGACCTTCACGTTCCAGAAGGGATGGGCGTTCCCTCGACGAATATACTTCAATGGTGACATTTGTGTGATGCCAGCTCCAGATGCATATCCATGGCTGCCAAATACAGGTCCTTTATCTTTTAGGCCAGTGCTTCTTCGATTGCTGGTCTTCTGGACAACTTTGGCATGTTTATTCATTTATGTGTAGGAGAAATAGATTACTTTGAAAATTTTCCGTCTTGGTCTAGTCTTTTGTTTCTGTTCTGCAAGTTCATGAAGTTAGATTAAGTTGTAAGAATTTTCTTCTTTGTATATTAGTGATTTAAGTGAAAACAGAGAGTTTGATTACTGCAATCGTTGATTGTGATAAAGGAAAAAATGTACTGTATTTCAACTAGGCCTAAGGATGAATAAAGGTTTGTTTGGGATCTGTTTTTACTGATTTTTAAATCAACTTTTTGTACAAGAATTTCTAATTCAAGAATTGTTTTTACTAAAAAGTTGCTTTAAAAAGAAGTAAGAAAGTTGTACCAAATGAGATTAATTATTCTGTGCGGACACCGAACGCCGTCCAGAGGCCAACTAGAATGCGTCACGTCGCCCCTTTGCTTGGTACCGCTGCTCGGTATTGTTCGATATCGCTTGGTACTACGGTTCGATATCATTGACGTGGCGCATTCTGGTTGGTCTTCAGACGACGTCCTGCATCCGATCTCCGCACAGAATAATTTAAAACCATATGCAAAACTAGCCAAAAAATTTCCCGGTGGCGACGATATAACACAGACGATATAAGCCATCAAAAACTTCAACAACCCTAACTCTTCGAAAAAATTTGAGGATTTGCGAATGCCATACTGAATAGTTTTCTTGATTTAGCTGAGGCGGGACGATATTTTTTATGTTCGAAATCACGAATTTCAGAGTGGAGGAAATGGGTGATTCTTCTTGATGCACCGTCTCCATGCTATCGTTGAGATGTGACAAAGTTGAGTTCGTCATAATCAGCGATTTTGATCGCATTCTTTGATATCATGAAGAAATACAAGAAAAGAGAGAGCATATGAGATAACATAGAAAGGTAGAAATAGGGCTGCAAACGAACCGAGCTGAGTTGAGTATGTGAGTGTTCATGTTTGTGTTCATTTAATATCAGCTTGTTTAAGTTTGGTTCATGTTTGTTCGAGCTTTATTGTTTGTGTTCATATTTGGTTCATTTAAATTAATGAGTGTTCATGTTTAGTTCATGTTCGGTTTGTTTAGTGCTTATCGAGCTTTAAACAAATAAACATGAACGAGCTATAAACAAGTTCTATTTTTAGATGCTCATTAACTTAACAAACAAGCTTTATCGAGCTTCCTAACAAAAATGATTATATCGATATGTTCATGAACATGTTTGTTTGATAGTTTAAAAAAATTTGTTAAAAGCAATAGTCTATGTAACAAAGATGATGATTTATAAGCAAATCTCATATTCACATAATTTTCCTAACAACATCATTAACAAAGACAATAATTTATAAAAAAATAGCCATATAAAGCTACAATTACTTTAAATTTTATCATTTAACAATAATTATATCTTTATATTATAATAAATATAAAATATTTATATTATTTATATTTATTAATTCTATAATCAAATATTAATTATTTTATTGAGCTTATTTATAAATTCAAAATCGAACATAAATCGAGCTTTTATCGAGCTTCTTATTGAGCTTAATGTCGAGCTTGTTCGTGAGCTTCAAATGATATTGTTCGCGAACATAAATGAGCCGAACGCATTAGTGTTCAAGTTTGTTTATTTAAGAATAAAGTATTTAAAATATAGTTCAAGTTTGTTTATTTAGTTAATTAAACGATCACAAACGAGCTTTAATCGAACCGAACAACGAGTAGCTCGTCGAACGTTTGGTTCGCTTGCAGCCCTACGTAGAAAGTAACGAGTTTCTTATCCCTTGAACAGTACAAGACCTCTATATATAGAATAGGAAAAGACTAAGGCTTCGTTTGGGACAGCTTTTTTACTGCTTTCTAAAACGGAGTTTTAGAACAAAATTTTTTATTTTTGTACTAAAACTCCGTTTTAGAAAGCAATAAAAAAGCCGTCCCAAACAAAGCCTAAGTGACAAATAAAAAAAGTCATATCAGCTAAGACAACTCATAACAGGTGATTTGTTTTTATGCTCTAATAGTAATTTTGCTGGTTTTTTTGTACTCTGTTTTTTGGTGGTGCCCAATTTATTTTATTTATTACTTACAAAGAATTCAGCCATGACATGGAATTTGATTTAATAAATTTCAATCCCAGTAAACTTATAGTCAAAATAAAGATTTCAACAAAACAAACCTAAAGACACCAAAATTGATTTAATTCGAGCTCAAATGGGCTCAAATAAAAAGCTTAAAGCATGTTGGGAGATATCAAAATATTAATTAGATGACAAAATGATCTCTAAATTAGAAATGCTGATAGTTGAATCGAGCAGCTTGACGAGACGAATCCAACGATCCTGAAACCCCTAAATTTTAACATCATTAAGGCACCTAAATGTTGAATGAACGCTTCATGATTAAAGAAATCAATATGGGTCGTATGATAGTGTTTTGGATTATGGTTCAAATTACCAAAATATCCAACACAAAAAACCTAAAAATAAGGTCATACTCTGCACTTGAGAGGAGACGAAGAATTAGAGAGGTCTCTCTTGCATTTTCCAGCTATCACCTCCGATGACCACTGCTAGTTATTTTCATCGCCACCAACGATTAGCATCAGAAATCACCATCATCTCCAGAATACAGAAAGATTCAACTCTTCTATTGGATATAGTTGTTCGCGTATTGACACCTAATTTTTTATACTTCCTATTAGAGAAATCAAACTCTATTGTTAGGTGTTAACTATTTCTCTATGAACATTTGATTTATGTAATATTCCTTTTAATCCCCGTCTTCTTTAACATTGAAGAAGGAGGAATTTTTATCACTTATTACATAACGAATTTTCCAACGAAGTCAGATCCAATTATTTTTTCTCTTTCTAGATTTTCCAAGTAAATTTTTTTTGATCTTATTACTTTTATCTGTGCGCTCTAAATTTTTATATATAACTGAGATGTAAAATACATACTATGTTGTCTCAAATTTTTTAGCACTTAATAATTATATTTTGCATATTTCTCTTCACTAATTTTGCTTAGAAAGAAATAATCTCTTGATCTTCTTCCTCTTTGATATGTCACCAAAAAAAGTCTTGATCGTGCATGAATCTCGAGGCGTATTCAAGTTGGAAACTTGTAAAATTAAATTTGGGATCATTTGAACTCCAATTTCATCAAACTTATTGTCAAACTGAAAGTCTCGAAGAGACGAACTCAACGACACCAAAATCAATCCAATCCGAGCCCAAATAGATCCAAATCAAGAGCCTAAAGCTCATTTGGAAGGTTCAAAGCCTAAATTGGATAATAAAATGGTATCCAAATATAACATTCTTATAGTTGAATCGAGCGGCTCAACGAGATGAATCCAATGAGCCTAAGATTGCTTAATTACAACATCATTTCGAGACATTTATGCTTGAAAAATGTTATATAATAGAGGGGATTAATATTAGTCATCTGATGGAGCACTTTAAATCTACCCAGATCTTTTCTATATTTTACGAGGGTTGCCACTCTAAAAAATTTATAGACCCCCCACTTCTCACATGAGGAAGGGGCTTGGAGCTTTAACATTTTGGCTGGAGGTTGGAGAGAGCTCTAAAGATTCAAGAGCTCCAACACCATTGCTCGTGAATCTCCACCGAACTTCCAACTGATCATCGTCGGACCACTACCTGGTCGCCGACTGTTGACCACCGTCGGACTTCCATCAGCCACCGACGACCACCAGATTATCACCCAGCCACATACTACCTCTGAACTTCCACCATATCGTCAACCGCCATCATACTTTCGCCCGAACATCATCAGACCACCACCCGACTGCCAACCATCGTCGGACTTCCACCCGTCCATCGACCACCATCGAACTCCTGCCAACCATCATCATACCACCGCCGACCACTATCAAACTACCACCCGGCAATCGACCGCCACTAGACTTCCTCCTAACCATTTACGGACCACTATATGGTAGTTGACCATCGCCGGACCACCGTCATGGTGCCGATCGTAGCCCGGACACCTCACAGTCTCGCAAACAACCGTCTCCACCGACTACTATCCTTCTGACCATCTTCGCTCGCCGACTACGGTTCCTCCGACCTCCCGTCGACCATCGACTAGGGTCCCTCTTATCGTTATTGCCTATCTACTATAATCCCTATGACCTCTGCCAACTGTTAGTTATGGTCCCTCAGACCATCGTCGCTCACCGATAATGGTCCCTCCGATCAACATAGCCCACCGACTACAGTCACAGCGACCTCTGCCACCTGCCAAATCTTCTCCCTTGCACCACAAACTCCCACTGAGTATGGTATGTGTGACCACTGTCGCCCACCGACTACAGTCCCTTAGACCACTGTTGATCGACTACGATCCTGTTGACCGAATGAACAAGCTCGCACTCTCTTGAGAACAACTCTTATATCATTAGATTCTTCCAGCTACCACATCGTAATCTGTTCTATATGAAGTATATTTATCACACTCAGCAAATATGCACACTTCATTCTCTTACGGCATCCTTACACTGGGGTGTCAGTGGCTGGGGCATTTATCAGGGAGGTGGTTAGACTGCATGGGATTCCTGAATCTATTGTATCTGATCGAGACAAAGTGTTCCTCAGCCAGTTTTGGAGAGAACTGTTCAGGATGCAAGGCACGATCCTAAAGAGAATCACCGCCTACCATCCACAGACCGATGGGCAAACGGAGGTGGTGAACCGAAGTTTGGAGACCTACTTGAGGTGTTTTGCTTCAGAAATACCGCGGATGTGGGCAAAGTGGCTGCCTTGAGCTGAATATTGGTACAATACGTCGTACCATTCTGCCTCTCAGATGACCCCATTTAGAGTGTTGTATGGAAGGGATCCCCCACACTTAGTGCACTATGGGAAAGGAAATACACCGGTCTCTTCAGTTGAGCAGTACTTGGAGGAAAGGGACATGGTGCTGGAAGAATTAAAGAAGAATCTGATGAGGGCCCTGTGGGCTCCGAAAATTCGGCCCCGGCCTCCACTCGCTTTTCTTATTTGGCGAGGGAGTTTTAACAGATTAAGTTCCGAGGTAAATTTTGGAAGGCAGATGGGTTTGTAGATAAGACACTACCCAGAGATTTCGCCCTCATTTTGTGAGGACTTTATGATCTGAGTTCTGGTTTCCTATAGGCGCAAGCCCCTATAGTTAATTACCCCTCCCGATAACGAGAGAGAACTTTCGATTAAGGCTAGTCATCAATCAGATACGTATAAAATATACGTGGTATCTGGCATATAGTAGCAACAA